AAAAAAAAAAAAAAAAGGAAAATCTTCCTAGCATCAAAGGGTGTATTACTTTCATTTCATTTTATTAACGCCTTTATGTTCTGTACGCATGCTCATCTTCATTCATTAAACATTTTTACACTCACTAAGTACGAACGGCTCATGGCTGCTATGAATCTATAAAATGATTTTGCTATCTCGTTTGGTCAACTTCGGAAGCACTCACCTGTTGAACAATAGTCTGTCGTCCCCGCACTTCCGCCTCCTCCCTGACCATCAGTACAGTGGTCGTTGGTGTAGGTGCACTGTTTTTCTGGTGGGTAATAATACAGTCCATAGGGACACTGCATCTCGTACAAAGCGCCGTTACCGGTGCCATCAATGTGACAGGAACAGTACGAAGAGCACGTGGTCGGATGTGCATACTCACCATTCACGACGCAATCATCTATGACAAAAATGATAATCGTTCATTTAAAGTTGTGCGTCCTGATGTATAATACATGTTGACTGATTATGTTTTAGTAGACCTATTAAAACCAAGGGAAAGATGCTGTTTCATTTTCTTATCTTTAATTGACTAAGTTAAGTGAAAGAGAACGAACCGTATCAATTAACTCTACAAGCAACATAGTTTGTGTATACCTTTTTTGCATCCCCCAGCATAAGTCGTATCTATTGCCAATTGTCCACCGCAGACCGAACTTGAAACTTCACACAAAGTTGTCGCTGGATTGAAAAAGGTCCCTGCATGGCACGACATTTCTGTGATCTTCTTATTAATTAAAATGTCACAAAGACAGTACCTGCTGCAGTCGTTAGGGTGGACATATTTCCCATCTCCATTTGGACAATCTATTTGGATAAACAATTTTAATTTTTTTCACTCTTTTAATTTGTTTTAAAAAACAAAGGTGAAAACGTCACCGAGATGTGAATATAGTGATAAAATAATGCTTTTCGTTGTCATATCATTATCAAGTATTTTCGTTCAGTGTCTATGAGCATCAAATTTAGTTTCATTTTTAGGTCGTAACGACCAAAGAAAAGGAGACTTAGTTATGAAACTGTTCGTCTTAAATTAACGAATGAGGACGAGATTGTGCAATTTCGATTTGAAGCGTGTTACACATTTTTTTTTTCATTTTGAGGTTGCCATTTTAAAGGCTAAATCTGGACTAAACTTAATGAAAAAGCCGATTTGAAAAGAACCAAGTGAACCATAGGTGCGCAATACCTGTCGGGCAGCTTCCGGCTTGAGATGTGTCTATTCCATTGCTTTCAGCGCAGCCAGCACTGGACGACTCGCACAGTCCTGAACTGGGATTGAAATAATTTCCCCCAGGACATGTCACTTCTGTTATCTTATTATTGGTGGACAGTTCACACAGGCAGTATTTTGAACAGTCAATAGGGTGTGCGTGCTTGCCATCGCCGTATGGGCAATCTGTGGTGGAATGAAGGAAAAGTCAGCCATTGAGGTATATAGTGACAGTATGCAAATGAAAAGTCGTTAAATCAAGTAGATATTACTTTTTTAGCAACGGAAAATCAACTACATTTTCAAAATACTTTATGCACATAGTTTCCATGATATATAGCAATGAGTTTACGAAAAAATTCATAAAAAGTCACAAGTCTTATTCATTTGACTCAAGGTAGTCAGGCTTCTTCTTCGTGTCTCTAGTCCTGGCACAAATGTTTTGCCTCAAAAGATTTTGTAACATGGGGATAGACCTTGGCATTCAACATAAAAATGTTAGTCCAATATTTCAAGCGTGTACGGGCGGTTGGTGGGGAAGGGGGCGACCCCCTTTCTCGACTAACACAATAACTATACTACTTTCAATTAAACATTACCTGTTGGACAAGACCCGGCCAGGGACACGTCTGGTCCTGACTGGCTGCCACCGCCCGTATTGCATGCAGCCGAACTGAAGTCGCACCACTCTCTGGTAGGATCAAAGTACTGGTCTGGTGGGCAGCAACGCGCATACGATATGTATCCACCATTCGTGTTAGACTGACAGGAGCAATATTTTTTGCAATCGGTTGGGTGAGCGGTATCCCCTGCTTGCCAACATGTTCCTACCAAAGTTAAGTGAGCATAAACTCTTCATTTGGCATCAAAACAGATCTATTTGAAATAAGTCAAACATCGCCATCAATGAAACGAAAATGTACAATTGTATAGTTGACTGAGTTGTTTAACCTTCGGTGCCTCAGCATGATGATGCCGGATTTTGGCGGTCTTAGAAAAAGACGATTCATATTTGTAAACAATGCCGAGAAAAAACTTATACATAATAAACTGATTCTAACTCCGACCTGCAGGACAAGACTCCAAATATGTAGTAGAACACCATTCTCCATTACTGGTTCCGCCGCTGCCACCACCGCTGTCACCACCGCTAGACCCTCCGCTGTCACCACCGCTAGACCCACCGCTGTCACCACCGCTGGACCCACCGCTGCCACCACCACTGGACCCACCGCTACCATCCTCATAACCTCCAGAAACAAAGGGATGAGGGATCTGAAGTTGATCAGCGTGGAAAGGGTTCGCCAATACAGCGTTTATGGTCCGTAGAAGAGGGTATTTAGTGAATGTAGGGCATTTTTGACCAGTAAAATCATCCATGTCCAGGGCCCATATCATAGCGCCGGCTAAACCATTGTCCAATACGTATTTGGTCTGAAAAGATACATACAGTCAATCAGAAAATGTGGAAATAACAATCGCTATTTGTCAAAAGACTTTCTCAAACTTGGGCCATTATATTTGGCCTTACTCCTACGAAACAGGTTTCAATCGCCTTTCCCGTATTTGGCCAAAGTCAATTCTACTCGTTGTTAACTCTTTATGAGAAGAAGTTTTACCAGGGTAACTCATTAATTATTCCTGAAGGACAGTCACTTCTTATTTTCTTGAAAAAGTCCAGTGCTCCATGTCACCACTTTAAGCGTCTTTGAATTGCAACCAATGCACCTTTTTTTCTTTTTCAACTTTTTCAGTTAGACATTTAGGCCCTGCAATACAGTCACTCAGTTCGCACTCTATTTTCTTCCAAATTATTTGTCTACCTTTTTTTAAGTATACACGTCATTAAATGAATTAGATAAAAGTGCAGTATGAAAGGAAACTTCAGTACCACTGAAAATATTGTGAGACCATTGCATCAGTACAAACGAAGTAGTTTTCAAAAGAAGGTGCATATTACATACAGTTCATATACTGTATATTTAATTGAATAACTGTAAAATAACATTCAGAACACCAATCTATGTAAAAATAATAATAATTAGCTGCTGAACATGCATATAAGTATCCACAAAATAGAACTTAGAATGTGACTGTTGTTGATAGTCATACGTAATGATTACCTTCAATGCGATACTGTTAGCGTCATCATACCCAATCCAGTCAAGAGAGGAAAATGCATATGGAACGTCGTGTTCAGTGTGCCAAAATGCATTATAACTACCATAAGGGTAAATCTTCCTACAAATCTGAAGATGAAAATATAAGGTTGAAAGTCGTTACAACGTGTACAGTAGTTTGTCCTGGATCATGAAACTGAAATGTGACTGTCAAATAAGGCTGCAGTTAGGCAGTTTTGGTAAATGTTACTACTTGTTGCATACATTATCCCTTGTCGTAAGAGATTCCTAGGATCAAGGGAGCTTTTGCTAAAGGGGTGCTTAGGGCAAATACCTCGTGGTATGGCTGAATTCCTTGTTCCCAGTTGTAGCCGATGCCAGCCCCGGATACTGGCGCCCCCATGCGGTTCTCCGCGCTATCTTTCAGAGTGAAGGATCTTCCATAAGTCGGCATTCCCATGACTAGTTTGTGTCTTGGGGCTCCTAGTTGGATCCAATACTGAACGGCAGCATCCTACGTTAAAAATTGACCACGCCTTCTTAATTTAAAACTTGGCATGCTCATTTTTCATCTTCTAATGCAACATAGAAATAATAAATATTAATAATAAATGAGGCAAATGGGTCAATGCACGCACGACCAAACTTCGTTGATATAAAAAGTACTTTTATAGAACCATGCTGAAAAATTTTCCCTTCAACAAGATAGTACTCTTTATAGATGGACCGCTAGTCTTTTACACCCATTTCCATAGATTAGATCGACCTACTTAAGATCGACCTAACTCCCTGGGGGTTCACGCTAAATAGCTGTCAGCCGGGCGGACACGAAAGTTAATTACCCCCTTACAGCTTGAAGTAGGCGGGACGGACATTTAAGTCGGATTATCTGAAAGTAATCTAGTGAGACTCCCCGCGGGGATAGATCGATCTAAAATCTATGGGAATAGAGCCTTAATTTCGCTCAACGTACGACCTCGAGACTTTGTATTGTGAGTCGAGTATACTACGTCAATTTAATGTCATGAAATGCTACATTCAGCAATTCATTTTGAACATACAGACGAGAGAGAGAGAGAGAGAGAGAGAGAGAGAGAGAGATGGAATGGTTGAGAAGGCCGTTCCGAGGGGCAGACCAGTAAACAAACATGTACCACATTCAACTCGGTTTGCTTCCACCAAGGTTCAGATGCTCTAGCGTACAGCGGACTATTATGGCCGGTGGTGGAATCCCACCTCCCGTGAAAATCATACGTCATTATGCTTATCAAGTCAAGGTGCCTGCAAAATGATGAGTGATATAGTACTTAATCTCAGAAATCTGTAGACCAAAATTATTTAATAATGTATGATGCCCACAGTGACCCACATGTACACCCCCCCCCCACCAAAAAAAAAAAAATCGTATAATTAGCAAAACGAGACAAAACCAGGCACACTTCCATCCCTGCATCCAGTAAACTTGTACTTGTTGTTATCAATATACCCATTGTAAATATTACAAACTTTAGGACGTCTACACAGTGTCGCATCATCATAAATTTGGAAGTATCTGCAATAGGTTATTGAGAGAGAGAGAGGTTGAGATTATCCTTACTTCGATATTTCAGGTACGTCGTAAGCACCCATAATAGTACCCTTGCCAGCACTAACAGCCGCTGTCAACAACAGTCGGGGGTGATATTGGTCGAATTTTTGACGCAGTGACTATGAGAAAAAAAAGATATCCAGTTGACAAATGCTATCGACGAAAATTTTGTTATAATTGTATTTAAAATTGATACAACAGAATAATTCTTTAGAGAGACTCTCCATATGAAATTCAAAATTCCACAATAAATACACTTTCATTGTGAATTCTGTGCTGGTCATCGGACCATGTGGACCTCCATAAAGATTATTACAAAAACCACACTTAGAAAAACTTCATCGACTAACTTTGTATGTCTTAACGGATTCATTAACCACTGAAAAGAAAGTAAGTATGTATATCAAGTACTTTTCTGTCACCAGTTTTACTTATGAATGCGTTTGTCTTCGCAACTTACAGCACTCACCCTACACAAACGATTAAATTTGTCCTTTGCATTCGCAGGATATTCCCAATCTAAGTCTAAACCATCAAAACCGTGGAGCATTAAAAAATTGGCTGCGTTTTCTGCAAATGTGTCAATCTTCTGCTGAGTCTCTGTAATCTGAAGAAAGGGGTGAGATCCCGCATTCCAACCTCCTATGGCCAAAAGGGCCTTCAGATGTCCATGATTCCTTGCCATGGTAGTTATCTTAGAAAAAAAGCCCTTCCCCCCATTGGTGTCTGGAAGGAGACAAAGACGGTTTTATAATATGTGGAAACTACAATTTCAGACAAAGATGTCCAAAATAATTTTATCTCCACCAGAAGGATTTTTGTTTGCGGTATCTTACTGACAAAAGTGTCC